ATATTAAACTATATTTTTTATATAATAATTATATTATTAATATTAATATTTTATTTTTTATTAAAAAATTAATACTTGTTTTATATTCACAGGCAAATTTGCCTGCTCTATAGTTTAAGGGATAACACAACCAGTCCTTAGTCTATGATTTTGCACAATACCTATGGTTTGATTTTATAGTTAGACACATGTTATTCAAGTTTTGTTCAGCTTTTTTGATCAACATAATAGAAATTCTGCAAATATTACTAAAGTCTTTGAACCTATAGCAATTTTTTGAAAAACCAAATTGAAATATATCTGGACGTAATGTTTGATGGTCAACATATGGCGAAACTTGAAAATGACCACTTTAATGTTTGTAAAAATAGTGATTCTATATCAGACTTCTGTATCGTTTATATGTGAGACAGCTCTAGCACTCTAAAGTACACTAGATTAGTTAAAAAATATAAAGATTTAGCATTTATTGACTATGATGAAATCAGGGATAAATTATTTAGAAATTTTTAAGAAGTTGAAACTTTTTTCAGATTCTGTTATTTTATATTTTAGTGAATGCAACTTTTTTGGTGAATAGTTTAAATGTATACTTAGTTTTATGTATGCTACTATGAATAATGTATTCACACCTGTTTATGTAAAATAGCAAAATTTTTCATCTCATTTTTTATCTATTATATTGGTTATTATATCACATTAGGATAATAATTTTTCTTGGCAAACTTTTCTGGATAGAGAATCACATAAAATTGGCCATTATACTAAAGGAGTAATGTTATGTATATCAATAAAAAAAATTATAGCTGAACGGTTCTTCACTGCATTTTTTGCATCACATCGAGCCCAGTACAAAATGTGTTCTCTTTATTGTTATAATATACATAAGACATAAGCAAAGTATATAAAATTTAAAACAATAAATTTCAAATGTTATATAAACTATTTATTTTATTATTGAAATTATTGAAATAAAAATTATTTTCATTGAAAGGCGCAGTTCACTTGGTACAGTTTAGATAACACAGTTAATTAATCAAAAATTTTATCTTATACTTAATATTCAAAATAAACTTTTTAATTATTGTTATAACTAGCCAGTACATTTTTCAGTACCCAACGGCTAACTGGTATAATCACAAGATTCGTATGATTGTGGTTGTGTTACATATGAGTTTTTAAATTATTAAATTTTTAAATTATATTTAAATAATTTTGTAATTTAAATAAAAGTAATTTATTTAATGAATTTATTTGATTTTTAGCAATTTGTTTTAATTTTTTTTTAATAATTAATTGAATTGTGTAAGAAGTTGTAAAAATGTATAAAGGTTTGTTTGGCGAAAGAATTAATTAAAGTTAATTTATTAAAAAAAAAAAAAAAAAGGTAACGGATGCAGTTTTTTTTTAATTTATACCTATTTATGTTTAAAAAATATATTAAATTAAAATACAGAGCTAACTAAGAAATAAATTTATTCTTGTTATACAAACAAAAAGCCACCAAAGCCGAAAGCTAATGAAATGACAAGCCACTACAAAATAAATGCATATATACAACCCATGTTCGCAAAGAGGGAGGGTGGGGAGATATAATCCGAAACGAAATCTACTAACTATTGGTAATCGAGTGAGAATCCTAATCGATTATGATTAGGATTAAGAGTTATTCAACTTTACAGGATAACTTGCACAAGGCGATCTCACCAAACCTCATGGGGACGATTAATACTTTGATATAAGAGCACGCGACTTGTATTACTTTGTACAAAGACTGTTTTCTATTCTACGATAATAAAATAAAATTATACAGTTTAAAAAAATAATCTAATACTACGTTAATAATATCACGTGTTATATATAAATATTTACAATATCAATTGTAACATTCGTGTAACATTATCGGCCAATCACATGAAAGTCTTCCTATGAGATTGCACACTGTGGAAATATTTTTGATATTTAAATCTTTAAATCTTCCTTTATAAAATATTAAGTTATGGATAAACGTCCTAGCGACATTCAGCAAACTTCAAGTTTTCCTGATCCTTTAGCGAGGATTTCAAAACGAAAAAAAGTGGTTCTTATCACAATCTTTTTTTCCTCAATCATTATTTTTTTGATCATTAATTTTTTTAATTAGGAAGAACGAAAACAAGTCATTCGACTTGGATTTCCTTCTATTTCTACAAGTTTTGGCGAATTTCCAATTGATACTGCTGCGGAAATCGGATGTGAGGTTTGTCGTATATATAATTATTTATAATTATTTATAAAACGATTTTAAATTTTAAGTTGTGAAATTATAACAATTTTTAATAGGTAATAAAAGAATTTTTAAATTCACATAATGAGACCGATTTTGAATTGATATTAATTGAAAAAGATACCAAAGCTTTAAATGCGTTTGATTCGGTAATTTATAAAATTCGTTGTTTTATTGGCCAATTAGGATAAAATGAATTAATTTAAAAAATTTTTACAGAAATGGAGAGAGATCAAAAATGATTTGGATGATCTTAAATTTCAAATTAAAAATGGAAATTTATTGCAGACTAAAGATGAGTTTGGAATTGAGTGTAGGTCAATATCAATTTAAAGTTGACTTTTACAAGTATTTACATTTTGTATATTTCATTTTATTTTATTTTTTGAAAAATTAAAATTAATATATTATAATTATTTTATGTTAAAAGGTTCATTGTTGCTGAAATAACTTGGAGAATGAAGCTAAGTATGTTGACTATTCTATGAATTTAGTTATTGAAATACAAAAAAAAAAAAAGAATTATTAATGTGCTATTGATTCCAGATACAAATCATTTAAGCAAACAAATTCTTAATGCCGTTGGATCAAGGTTGCCTGAGGAAGTAAAACGGTTATATCCAAATCCCGGTATTGTAAGTATTTAACATTTTACATGTTAGTTTTTTATAAAAATGAAATTTACAAATTCTTATTTGTAGGTTGGCGAAGCGTATCCTGTATCAATTCCAAACGATTCTATTCTACATAAAGATGAAGGCATTGAAAAGGTCTTATAATTTATTTTACTCTCATCGTGTAAATATTTTAACGAATCACTAACACGCTATGCCTTTTATTAGGTTATTTTTTTAGTATCACCAAATATGAATCCATCACGATCCAACCCAGTTTCATTCAAAGAAGCAAAAGAGTTACTCAAAAAAAACGTATAATTCTATGATGAACGCGTTTTTAGAGTTAAAGAGTGGAAGGGAATATCATCCTGCTACAACAAAGAAGGAAAACCCACAAGTAAAATCTGCATGTAAGAAAATTTTAAACGAAAACACCCATGTTAGATGTTTATATCATTTCATTCATTTTATATTCTCATGCTTTATTTATGCTTTAGTTGACATTTTGATGAAATCCTCAAGCCAATCATCAACAAATTCATCTGAATCTTCTTTAAAACGACCTTTACCCAAATTGGGAGGTGGAGGGTGGACAAATGTTTTATTTCCATATTGTCAAAAGCCCGAAACATTTCCAAAATCTGAAGTATATTGCTACGATGATGAATCTGTTATTATCTATGACAAATATCCTAAAGCGAAAAAACATTTATTAGTAATTCCAAGAAAACGTATTGATAATATTGAAGAATTGAAGAAACAAGATTTAGAATTGATAAAAAAATTGAAAGAGAAAGGACAGGAGATTATCGAAAAGTAAGCTATACTGATAGAATCTACGTGTAAAGTAGTATCATATATATTTTGACGCGATTATATTTGATTAGGATGAAACAAGAAAATCCAAAATTAGGTTTCCGAATGGGATTTCATGTTATTCAAAGTTTAAAGTAATATTCCCGTGTCATTTCATTAAACAAACCTTTTTAATAATAATATATTAAAATCAATATTTATGTTATTATAAAGGCAGCTTCATATGCATGTAATTTCACAAGATTTTATTTCATCTTATTTAAAAAATAAGAAGCATTGGAATTCATTTACAACCGAATTTTTTAAGGATGTAGAAGAAATTGAGAAGAAATTAGAAGAACAAGGATATATCAAGGTAATTTATTTATGTGTTTTATTTTATAGTAATGTTGAATACTAAATAACAAATTGAATTTTTAGTTTGATAAAGCATATTATGAGAATTTATTAAAATCTTCCATAAATTGTCATTTATGTAATATGAAATCTATAAAAAATATTCCCAATTTAAAAGAACATTTAAAAGAGCATTGGAACAAAAATTAAATATAATTATTATAAGTAATGTTTGAATTTAATTTCAAAATATAAGTTTATATAAATTTAAGTATTATAACTTTAAAGAATGCTATTTTCAATTTGTTATTATAATATTTTATTAATTTATATGATATATGTATATGTATTAGTCATATTTTAAATGGTTAAAAATAAGCATAATTTTACTAGAATTATATAATGATCAGCCTAATGGTTAATCATTTTTGATTCTATAAAAATAAGCTCTAACCTAGAATATAATTGGTTTATCTCTTATTATTTATATAATTATGCAAATAATTTATGCCAATTAAGCATATATAAATGAATATATATGAATTTTGATCATCAGTAGATATAAATTATTTCGCATAATTATGTAAATGATATTAATCAAAAGATAAAATTATTTATTTTTTAATAATATAGACTTTTGTAATAGTAAGTAGAAAAATTATAGAAAAGATTAATTTGACTTTATATGATGATTTTGTTAAATATATTTAGATTTAATATTAATATAAACTTATTTTTTTTATTTTTTTTAGTAATTTTTCTCTTTTCTATTATAAAGGTTTTATATTATTATTTTCATACTTTTTTATAATTTAAATATTTGACTAATATTTATAAATATGATCTATTACAAAAAGATTTGTATAGTAAAAAAATTTAATTTTGTTTACATATAAAATTTCTTAAATTTTAATAATATACAGTCAACTCTTTCTACAACGTATTTTGATATAACAAATTTTATAATACAACAGATTTTCAGTGTAAAACAGATTTTTAAATATAAAAAAACCTTACTATACTGAATTTGATAATTAAAAATTTATATTACGTTTAATAAATTAAAATCAGAAAATTTATATATAAAATAATCCTTTTTATAACAAATTATCTCTATAATAAATTTTATTTTTGATATAATGAAGTTTTGCTTAATTAGATTTAGTTATATAAAATTTTGTATCTCTAGCTTTTAAATAAAAATAAAATGAACAATAAATAAATATTTCATATTATACGTTATGTCTTATATTTCATGATTTTTTTTTTACATATTTATTTTTTTTTTGTATAATGTTAAAAATAAATTCAAAGAAACAACTTAATGAACCTACTAATAAACAAGATAAACCTTTAAAAAAAAATGAAAATCTCTTACAATTGCAAAAAAAAGAACTTTGTTTGAAAAAAATATTATTACCTTTTTTAAAACAAAAAGACTTGACTAATGAATATGACGCTAGTGAAGGCATGGTTAGTAATATTTTAAAGGAGAAAGACCATTAGCTTTCTGTGAATACTAATTAATACTAAGCCAATTTGAAATGTAATAAGAAAACTCCATTTCTTTTTATTAAAGAAGCATTAGCAATTTGGATAGATTAGAGTTCCAAATGAGTCGAATCGAGTCAAATTTATTTTATAAAATCTTTCAATTTGATTTGATTCGAGTTATATAAATTTTAAACTCA